TAAAAGGTTATGAGAGTTCAAAAACAAATCAACAGCACAACTTTGAAGACTTTTAATGTACATATATCTGTGAATTACTTTGAGTCATAGAGAATCATGGAATTCTTGAGGATAGGATTTTAAAAACACCAGTGTCCCTCTGTGCTGAAGATTATAATTATATGCACTGTATGTTAATTGGTGCAAACAGTTGTGGGTAAGAAACTGGTGTATCAGAAATACACAGAATAGGTATCTGCTGCTTGAAAGTGCTTGCTGTCCAAAAAAGAAAGCAGGTACGCAGTAAATGAGACAGTCATGATCAGCAAGCTAAGCTGTTGCGGAATACAAGTATGCTGGCTTGAAATGTTCATACATATCAAGTTTTCAGATGAGATTTGAGGCAAAGTGGCTTTGTGTACATCGGTGGGGACAATATGCCAAGTGTAAAGTGTGGGTTAAAAGGGAAGAGCCTGACTTTTTTTTCTAGTAGGTGCCTTCTGGAAAGGGTATGTCGCACTTCCACAGGTCTGCCTGTGAATGGCTTGTTAGCACAGCCACTTCTGCATGGGTTTTTGTAAGACTTTAGTTTGGCTCATATCACAGCAGAAAACTAACATAGCAAAAGAATTAAAACTATGCTGCTGTGTGAGTATTATTTTAATGTGAAGTTGATAGGTGCTGGAGTAGTTTAAAGGATAGGGTGTATCATATAGTCGGACAGAACAGAGAGAAGGAAAGCGCATCTTTCGGCAGAAGAAGTAACATCAGCTCAGTCATTTTGCTCAGCTCCACCCTTAAAGAAGTACCATGCCAAAGAATGTGAAGATACTTATCTTTTGCTATGGGCCAGCTTGAGATCATAGAATCATTTATGTTGGAAAAGACCTTTAAGATCATGGAGTTCAGCCATAAACGTTACACTGCCAAATCTACCACTAAACCATGTTGCCTGAGTGCGTCTTCAAAGTACCTTCAGGGATGGTGACTCAACCACTTCCCTGGGCAGCCTGTTCCAATGCTTGACAGCCATTTTGGTGAATAAATTTTTCTTTATGAGTCAGCATATCAGTAATAAATGAGGTGAGTCAGGAAAGAAGAGACTTTTGAGGGGTCTTAAAATTATAACAAGTAGCTTCTCTTTTTTTTTTTTTTTTTTGATAGGAAAGTAAAAACTTTTGAAGAGCTGAAGAGTAAGGGTTAACCAGAGCTAAGAATTCTCAGAAGCAGTGGTCTGAAGTGGGGTCCTAAAAAAAACACAGCAAACAAAACCCCATCATGCAACCAAACAAAAAAAAGACCCCAACAACCAAATAAAACCAAAAAGGCTTTGTCAACACCAGCACGAGCTGTTGAGAATGAATTGTTTCGGCCATGATGTTTCTTATTTTGGGAGATGACTTTCATTTTGTGCCATGTTTTTTCCATCTCTGCATTAATCAAAGTTCTTCAGTGTTGTTGCATGAGATTTTGTGACAGGAAGATATTCAGTGTTAGATCTAAACTTTGATTATGGGAAAGCCACGTGGTTTAGTTGATAGAATCCAGAATGTATTTAGTCTATTTTCAAGCCTATTTTAATGAAAGGACAGACTAGCAAGAGACTATATCTGAATTTGTGAAGTTGTGTTATTTTGTTAAAATTTTTTACATCTGCCACATGTGGAGCTCTGTTAAGCCTGCCTACCTTCCCTGTTGGCTTTATATTTGATAAAGATGAGTCATGCTTCAGTAACTAGTATATTTTCTACTTTTTTCTAATATATGATCATTTGCAAGAAGAGGAAAAACAGGATAGCCAGTCTTTCCTTGAAGTTAATATGTCACAATTTTTTTTGTTAACTTTTCTTGAAAGATATTTTTCGCAAGAAGGCGGTTCTGAAGTTTAAAACAAGACTTGAACTGGCAAGACTTGACTGAAAAAGTTTCTGCAGTCTTAGTTCTTTCTGAAGTAGTATGCTATTAGAGGGTATTTATTTCCTTACTACCATGTTTTATCTGCAGCAGTAGTGCTGTTGATACAATCAAAGCCTGAGCCAGCCAACGTGTTGTATTCATATTATCAATTTACCAGTGGAAACATCTGTTCTGTTCTGTTTTCCCACAGTGTTGTAGATTGTACACTGTAGTCCCCACTTTGCCTCAAATTACTTGTCTGCTAGTGAAGCTTCTGTGAAATACCTGGCTGCTCTGCTAAACACTATGAAGATTGCTTTCCTCAAACTTTTCTGTCCCTCTAGAAATGAGAAGTTTTTTCAGCACAGAGGACTGTATGAAGAGATATTGCTGTAACTGCAGTTTTTTACACACATGTAAAGCAATTTTATTGCTCATTTTAATTAGGTGGCCTCATTATAAAGGTCTGCCATTACTACAGATTTGTCAACATGGGAAGTGGTAGCATTGTCATGTCCTGGTTTCTTCATATCCCAGTGGGCTGCCTTTCTGCACAGCACATCTTGCTTCCTTCTGCATTAGTGCGCACTTTATCAGGTAGCTGAATGTAAGAGTTCACTGCCAGCAATGTATAAGAGGTTTTGTAGTCTGTCCGTCTAGCGAGCTGTGTTTCAGTGAAGGTTTACCTGAAGTATGTAGCCATTTGCACTTACAAAATTAAAACTTCTAAGCATATTTCTAGTAATTTAGAAAGTTATTGTTGCTACTTGTTGTCCAGGGAATTGAGGTAGAACGTTCTGGAGGGCGTTCCTCCACCCCCTGCCATTACCTAAGGCAGGCCAACGCATAGAAATCAGCCAAACTGTATTATAAAGAAACCAAATTACGACAAATTTTCCCTCCTGTTATGTTCCCTTGAAATTAGGGGCTGTGGTGTAGACTATTTGTAGTGCTGTAGCTGTCACAACTTGCTTGTTTTTAGTGTTTCTCTTGTTCTTGTTTTTATGGCTTATGCTATTGCAGACCTTTCAAACTGAGTTAAGCCCTGGGTAAGTAAACTCTGCAGAGGTATCCTGAACTTGGGATGGATCTAGTAAGATTTTCACTGTCTCTAATTTCTGTGATAGTATCAGATTTCTTGTTTTCAGTGGCTGGCCTGTGGGGATTCAAGGAGGTGCATGCGTGTGTTCCAATTTAAGTTCAGAGTTATTGGATGTAAGTTTCACTATGCATATTGTTCTGCAAGGTAGCTCTCAGCCTGCATTTGTGGCTGAGTATCCAACAACTGACAACTTATGGCAGTGACTTAGATTTGTGGAAGCTGGATAAGACTGAGATTGATGCCTCCGCAAAATCTCACTGATCCTTTGCAAAAAGTCAAGATTATGTGTTGTGGCAATAGCATGTCTGTACATGTGCTAATGTTTTGTTATAAAGAGCGTAGTCAATGGAACTGATTCCCCTTATGCTTGAGTAGGCATCTTGCAGCTAAGCAGGTTAACTGCTTTCAATTTCATTGGCTGATAGACAAGATCTCCATTGACTGTAATGCATTTACAGGTTTACACATCTTAATTCAGGTGTCTTATTCTTTAAATACTGTCTTGTACTCTTGATGGTAGTACATATAAAGGTTCTTGTCTTTGCAAATAAGATCCGGATGTATCCTGATAAGATGGCTAGTTATGCCTGCTTTTTCAAATTTGTTGGTTTTTAAAGTTTTTAAACTGCAGAAAGTGATTAAAAACTTAGCTTCATTTATAGAGAGATGGTGAAGGAGGTGCTTTGTTTATATCTCTGACACTTCTGATTCCTTTTGTGTTATGAAAAATGTACAAATATCCTTTCAGGATAAACCGAAGTAAAAAACTATGTGGTTTCTGCAAATTCAGCTGTATTACAAGGGGATTTAGGATAAATTCAGCTGTAGCTGTTCATACTGCAGTAGGAAGCAAGTTTCTTTTACTGAAGTTAGTGTGGGGCATCGCACACAAAACCCTTCTCGTTGCTGCTTTCCAGATGTCTGGTGTTTGGACTCTCCTGGCTTTTTCTAAAGGCTTCATTTTATGTAATGAGGTGTTTTTTCCCCCTTTTTTGGTAATGTGATACTAAGAACTCACATCTGCAGCATAGCCTTGATATGTCATTTATTTCAAACTACAGCACTGTTGATAGTATTGTGCCTATCATACAACGTCTATTTGATCCAAGACTGCACGAGAATCCAGCAGTCAAGTATCTCCCGTTGAAGACTGCCCTGCTGCAGTACCACTGTGTACAGAGCTTACTGCAGTTTGTGTTACAGTAGTTCTGTGTGCAGCTCTCTGTGCCCAGCCCCACTCTGTGCTGTTTTCCCACTCTGCCACAAGTCCCCCCAACCTTATTCCCAAAGGTGAAGCAATATTGTCTCTTCTCACCATGTTTGGTAACCCTTTTCCATTTCTCAGACCAAAATGCAAGGTCATCAGTTGGTGTTTGAATCCTCATTTGTGGTTTTGGCTGAGCTTTTTTTGCAGTTGGGATAGTGGACCCTGAGGAAGAAAGAGCATGATGTTCCTAGTCCCCATATATCTTGTAGTTCACTTCCCATGTCACTCGAAAGTTCTAGCTCTCTAGTTGCGGTTTAGGGTGATTTAGGTTAATATGGAAAGCAGAAAAGCGCCTTGTTTTCCCCAAATCCCATCAACCCTTTCTCAGGAGGGAAAAAAAGAGTCAAGTGGTGCGGCAGTAACATGCTATCGTTTTACTGTTGTCTTTATATTTACTTCTTGTCTTTAAATTTCAAGGGGGTTAAGGATAAAGCTCTTCAGTTACAAGACATTAGGACTGGAGTTTCATACACTAAATGAATATCTTTGTTAGTTGTAAATGGAAGATACTGATTAAAATCTGCTTTAAAATAGAAGTATCTGTTTTCTGTGGGCTTTAGCATTCATTCTAGAGAGCTTGGTATGCCTGATTTTGGTTCTAAACATAAATCAAATTGATCCTTCTTGAGGTGAAAATGAACAGCATCCTTTATTAAGAGCTGGAGAGAGCTGTTACATTTAGAAAACTGCATGGTGAGTGCATGTGTAGATTTTTTACTTTAACTGCATTTGCTAATAACCTGTTTTCTTTTGCAGAACCTTCTGATAATATGAGAGAAATTCTCCAAAATGTAGCCAAATTGCAAGGCGTTTCAAATATGAGAAAACTAGGTCACTTGAATAATTTTACTAAGGTAAGAGCTTAAATGGTGTCATAAAACAAATGGTGGGTTAAGTTGCACAGAAAGTCAAAGATTGCTTCCTGCTTCACAGAACTGAATAAAAAATGTGAAATGCCAACTCCATTGATGTAAACTGACAGTGTGGTAAGGTTGAGGACTCTGTCAGTGGGTATGATGTGGTGGTTAGGTTGCCAATAGAATAGTAAGAGCAACTTTCACTGCAGTTTTCCAATGAAAAAAAAGACTTAAAGGGGCGACTTCTAGTCTGTATTGTTGATCTTTGAGGTGCTTTTTCCAAATACATACGTCCAAATCATAGGAATGTGACAAGTACTTGCCTGAAAGTACGATGGATATGTTGGAAGCTGTCATTGCGAATTGACAGGCAAGAATTAAAAACCTACTGCAGGATGAGGGTGTAGGCTGAAGAAAGAGGCCAGGAAAGGCCTTCAGAAGGAGAGCAAGTACCATATTTTTATTTTTTTTTTTGTCACTGAGGAACCTGTAGAGATGAGCAGAGAGAGCTGATGGGAGATAAGTAGTGGGTTAGGAAAATGGTGTTGTAGCATGCTGAATGATTGTGGTTGGACCAGCATTCCATTTATCAAAACGGGAAAAATGCTCCTAGTCCGTGAGCTAGGAGATGTTTTTGAGCTTCAGTGTGAGTATTGCCTTAATGGATGGACTGATACTTGAAAAGAATTGTACACATTTCTGACAGAGCACTACAGATGCGGCAGTGTGCATGAAGATGATACTGCAATCAGTGGTAGCCAAGCAACAAGGTAGTTGAGGGGAATTTTGTGGAGAAATTAAGATTAAAAGCTAGTAATGAATCATTAAGTAAGATAACCTGGAGGCTACTTGACATTTTTGAGGCAATCTCAGGTGAAAGAACAAATGCTCAGGGGTGGGTTTGAGGGACCAATTGGTATGAGGAAGACAAAATGCATGATAAACGTTGAAGTAGACATGCTTGTTGGCTGTTAAAAGTGCTCCTTGTAAGATTGAACTGCTCTTCAGTGGTATTATTTGCGATTCAGTTAGCAAGAGGTACTGAGGACAAAATCACTAGTAAATAAATCTATCTTCTAATGCATTATAACAAATCTGTAAATGCTTCATTTCTTGAGTTGGTCCAGAGCGCATGTAGTTGCACAGCATTCACTGAGGAACTGAAATCAGTTATAGTGAAATCTCTTCTTTGGGTCATTGCCTCGTTCTGTCTGTCAGACATCCACAATTGACAAAATGTTGCTGTTTTTATTGAGATTCCAAACTGTGTTTCAAGACAGCCCTTTACTCTGATAGAAAAGGATGATACGTAACTAACTGTTTCCTTTTTGTGCTAATCTGAAAACTTTTGAATGTGAGTGCTTCCAAATTCTGTAGTTGAGATTCATGATTCCCAGTGAAAAGGCAATATTCAAGCTATGGGTGTTAAAATAGTGTTGATTTTACTACTGAAAAATCATATGTTAAGCCCCCTTAGATGTGGTAAAGTTGTAAAGATGCATATTGTAATCAGAGGATGAACCAAAAACTCCTTTAAAAAGATAGTTTTGAAAAATTGAATTATTTCATAATTGAATATTTGAAGAATATGCTCTTTATACTTAACCTAGTGTTAAAAATGGAAAATACTTAAAAAACACAAGGAAGATTTTAATAAATTGGAGTTAAGACTGGCAAGGAAGTATGAATTCGTGAAAAACAACTTGCCAAAGTGTAGTATTACTTTTGAAGACAGACTGTAGTTCCTAACCTGGTTTTGATTGTGAATCAGAGTGACCCTATATGTGGGAATCATCGTACTCTATTTAATGTTGAACACGTTCTTAGAGTCATCTCCCTGGAATATCTGCTTTATAAATGTTTGCCTTTTACATTTGGGTTTGAAAACTCTTCGTATTTTTGTTTCAGCTGTAAATGCAGTTATGAAAGTAGATGAAGGTTGCAAATTGTACTGTGTTATCTGCCTTGTGGTTGGAGCAATTCTGTGTTTTTCATTCCAGTGGTTAAGAGTGAAAGCCTGGAGCTTGGGGGAGATAGTTTTATTTCCTTTTTGCACTCTGGCCTTCTACCATGAATTGAAATAGTCTCAGTTCACCCTTTGTGAGATAGGAGTGTGGAGAAGATAGATGTGCTAAGCCCTGAGATGCTTGTATCATGTCTTCGAATAACGTTAAAGCTGAACTTGATTTGTTTGTAAATTCTTGCATTTTCTGATCCATTTTGAAAGGCTACTAGTTGTCTAGGGTATTTGTCCTGTAGACAGGAAAGGACCTTTCAAAAATTTTAAATAGCATATTTCTGATAAAGTAATACAGAAAATATATAAGATTTAACCCTCCTGCTGGAAATACTATTCTTGTTAAGAGAAAATGTCAGCACCAGTCTAAACAGTTGCTGCCCACTGCCCCAGATTTTTCCTTCAAAGACTGAGCAGATCTCACATTTGGAAGAAATACTTTTTTGGTCAAGGGAAGCAAAATGTGTGTATTAATGTAAAAACAAATACTGTAAGTTAATGTGGACTTTCCTGACAGAGACTGTGATAGATATCTTGAAATTAATATAAAACTTGATGTCTCAGGTATGTTAGGTTCAGGTTTCTTTCCTTGAAAGAGGACTAGATTTTTGAGTTGGGGTTTGTTACTTATACCCCATTGTTGTTGTTTTTTTTTAAGGAGAAAGAAACAAATCACACAATGGTTTGGATTGGAAGGGACCTTAAAGCTCATGTGGTTGCAACCCCCCTGCCACAGGCAGCAGCATCTTCCACTAGACCAGGTTGCTCCAAGCCCTGTCCAACCTGGCCTTGAACACTGCCGGGGGTGGGACAGCCACAGATTCTTCTGGGCAAATCACCCTTCAGAAATTACTGAGCTAGACTCCAGATTTTATGCAGAAGTTAAATATATAAAACTTATTAAAATAATAATGAATGATCAGCAGTCAACAGGATTTGTTACTTTGTCTGCAAGGATGATACCATAAGGTGGATAGTTTTTTTGAAGCTTGCATTCTTAATTGGTGTAACTCCCTTTCATTTGTCTTTCCCTTTAAGGAAAGCGTTAACAAGTAATAGTCAAGTCCCCACAGCAATCATGCTTACTGTGCAAAGTAAGCTTAACATGATGTTTTAGAAAAACTTGCATTTCATTCATCAAATTTTACCTAAAACTTCTTAATAAAAAGCTTACTGCTCGCATTCTTGACACTGGCTGCAGAACATAGGTTGTTCTCACCCATCAGGCACTGTAAGGTTTCTGCTCCAAGAAATTAGCATTTCCAGTCTAGTGATACTCAGGCTGTGGAAAGGTATACTTAATGTTGAGCAGTGGAAAACATAGAAATTTTTTTCCTCATCTGGTGCTTATCACCTAAAAAAGTGAAGCTGCAGTTTGTGGGGAAAATTACACCCCAACCCGTGTTAGACAAAAATAATTATGTTCCTTTCAAACCAACTGTATGACTTTTTAAGCTAACCTGAATTCTAACATGAAAACTGTTTGAGGATTGGCCTCCAGTAAATGGTCAGTGATACCTTCAGTTGTCACAGCAGTTCACAAGCTCGGTATGTGCCTTTGGCTTCTGTAAGCTGAGTAGAATTGCCCATGTTTCATTTATATGGCCACTACATAGGGTGAGCACCTTGAAGTTTCCCAGCTTCTGCTGATTAATACCAAAACATCATGGTTACTTCTTTGGGGTTTTCCCCACCCCCATGAGAAGCAGTAAGTGATAAATTACTGAAAACCAGAACTGTACAATTCTATTTACCTAGTGGAAAATATATTTTGAACTATTTATTTAGAATCCTTTATTATAGAAGGTTTATCCCACTGTTAGCTTCTGAGAGATCCTCTATATCTTTTTTAAAACTGAAAGTGTATTTAGATAATGAACAGGAAAAAAAAAAAAGATCCACAGGTGGTGTTTATAGGGATTTCTACCTTTAGTTCAAAAAGAAAGGTATTCTTTACAGACAAAATGAACCTTAATTCATTTTAGCTTAAGCATAGCAATGTGACATGGCAAATAATATTCTAAATCTTCTAAAAACGAATTCATCATTATTTAATGTGTCTCTGCTTTTCTGCTGTATATATCTGTTAGGTTTTGACTATGCTGCTGAATTTCACTCTACAGATATAGACGGAGTTTGGGGCTACTCTATAGCTTTCACAGATTCTGTCTCTGTCCGATTCATAGTCTCATTTTAGAGTCTCATTTGTCCACTGCAAACCCCAGGTATCTTAGAATCTGAATGTAGTACTGACTGACTGTAACATTCATCCATGTAGCTAAACCACAGTGGGCAAAACTTGAAATCTCAAGATGAATCTTGTAGCAGATATAAACACAACAACTGCTTAGGGGCATTGAGATGTGGAACAAACCTGGAGAATTAATGGGTATAAATCCAGAGTCCACAATTTCAGTAGAGGCTTCTCTTCAGACTAGAATCTACTGAGTAGTTTTCTCATAAATATTATCAGTGGTGATTGAAACTGTATCTTCAAAATTACAGTGTAATAATTACATTTGGATGCACAAACTAATATTCTACTTTTACCTAGTAATTGCTGTGACTATGCTGTTGAATATAAATCTGAATGGTCTTGGTGTGCGCTTAGCTTGTGTATGCTGTTGACCTCCTGTGGTTTTGTTGTTTTGAGCTACTGTTTCCAAGACATGTTGATGTGTTACTCATATTGCTATGACTCATCCAAGTAGCATGAAAAGCTCATAGCTGACAGTAAACATGAAAAAAACCTCTTCACTGTGAGTTAGTCACTGTCTGGCCTAGTGTAAGTACCATTTTGTCCTAATATTAATTCATACTCCCAAAAAGTCTGTGCTATTGCCATACATTTACTATTGTATCAAACATTTTCAATTTTAGAGTTGACTTAGAAGTTTTAACAAGCAAAGTATTTTCTATGTGTTTATGTGTGTATATATATAGAAATAAGTAACATTTATTGTGTATATATAAAAATATATACCTTTTTCAAGATATATTTATATGGAAATACAAACATATTTGCATAATTCCAGGCATTTACATGATATGATAATCAACAGCCATTTTCATGAAATACAGCAATGTATAGCCAAACGCAGATTTTAATATTCTGGTACTCCTTGACTATGACATGCACATTAATTTTTAATGTTACAGTTAAGCATATGACAGTTACTTGGATTTGTCAGGAATTCAGCCATCTAAAAAAGTTACTGCATTTTGGGCCATAATCATTGACCTGCTTAATGTTCTTTGAATATTAAATGAGACAAAAGTGGCAAAGTTTTCCTTATGATGTGTTTAAGACCAGGCATTTATAAATGAAAAAAATACCCAAAGATATTGAGAGTACCCAAAGCTGAACAGTATCTTCTTTTTAGCAGCTTCATGACCTTTTTTTTTTCTCCTTTAAGCATGTATCAACCCAATCTTTTTTTTTTTCACCTGGACCAAATGAACCCAGTGTCGTCTTAGCCTTCATGGGTGCATTGGGTACATTTTCTAGCTGCCTTGTGCATTCTTCTGCTCTACTTTTCCCAGATTGTCTGCTCTTAAAATTTTACAGTTTTGAGAGCAGCTTGGGAAATGATGAAAAAATTAATCTCAAACATAGTGCAGTCTTGTGAGTATTTCTAAGGGTAAAAATTACTCTTCTTTTTTTTTTTTTTGGTTTTTGGTGGTGGTTTTTTTTTGTGAATTTGCATCACATTGGTTCATTTAATTTATAGTTCACAGGAACTTAGAAATCTTGCTTCTTTTTTTGAATTTCATTTTTGTATTTAACATTCTGAATGCTTTCAACACATCTTTCTGTGTTGGACTTGCTTCGGTTTTTGTCTTATTCATATGTGATCCCTAAAGGATCCGTTCCTTTTATTTAATTGAATTTTCTTACTGAGTTTGGTCACTCCTTTCAAATTACTGAAACATTTTGCATTCTGATCTTGCTGTTTGTCTTTTAAAGCCTTTTCTAGCTGGAAGTCCTGTAACTGCACTACTGTATGTAAATTGCAAAGAAAGCTAATACATAAGTAATGATGGTCCATTGGAATGAGAATAATACCTAAAAAAAGATAATCTTATACTTTTTTTTTTTTGGCCATTTTATCTGTTCATTCTCTGAAATGTTTCACATGTGTTCATAGGCATCATCAAACACTTTGATAATTATTATCAATACATTTAGATATCTGCATCCACAAAGCAGTTAAAGTTAGTGAAAGTTGTAACTGTCATCAGGTTACATGACCATGTTTGAGTTGCAAGGTAAGATTAAATTGTTGGGTTTCTTTCTGTGTCAGTGGGGATGTATGCAGTGGGAGCATATATAGAAGAAAACGGTATTGAGGAGCTAATAATCTCACTATATGTATTTGGTAAGAGTGCTTACTGAGAACTAGACTAGAGATGTTCCAGTGGACTTGAATGCTCATTAGCAGCAAGTTAGGTGGGTTCTTGGAACACAGCTGCTTTAGTTTCATCTCAGGACTACTGAAGATGAAAACCAATGGTGAGTGCAGTGATGGGAGACTTGCTTCAGGAATGCAGTAGTGCACAAACTAGCAGCTTTCTTAAGAATGTTTTTTCCTGCATCAAAATTACAATTCTGTAGGAGTTTTTAAAGTAGGAAAGAAACACTGTTGAGGGTAATGTGGAATGTTAAATGAGCATTTCTCCTTTGTGCTGGGGTGGAATGATGGGCAGATGTTCAGATGTATGAATGATTAGCCTAAACAACTATTGATGTACTTGTCTGAAACTGAACAATGAACTGTTTTTACTCACTATCTTCTCACACTGTGTTGCTTACACTCTGCCAGCCAATTTTTACAGTTCATAAGGTGCCAATAGAAATGCTAAAGCAGCACTGGTGGCCTTAGGCAGCCCAACAACATGGCATAAATATAGATTGATGCTAGGAAGTGACATATTCTTATAACCAGTTAATACACCAATTGTCTTTTATTATCAATTAAATTTGAATGGTGGTGGAAAAAAATATATAACTTGCCTTCTGTTTTATAATAATCTTTGGTTATAGCCACTGTTAAGAAAAATGCAAAATCCAAAATATTTCAATTAACTGAGATTATGTGGACCCAGATGTGGAGCTGATCCAGGCCAATTTAATAATCTGTCTCATTAACAGTGTTGGATTTCAACATTATCACTATGCATTTTTCTCACAGTACAAAAAGTTGTATCTTAAACTGTGATGTGATCCTTGGAAGAATTTGTACTTGTTGAACATAAACCAAAGTATTGTTTCAATTTAAACCATCAATCTAATAAAATAGGTTTAATTAAAAGCAGAGTTTCTGCAATATGCTGGTTTTTCAGATGAACGTGAAGAGTAGAATAGGAGCATGGAACATGTTTAATATTTGAACTTACAGTAGCCTTACTTTAACTGTTTAGTTTTTTTTATTATTGTTGTTAGCAGTAAATACATACAAAGAATGTGGCACAGGTTTTGATATATTCTAATGTGTTCTAATATTTTCACTAGTTAGCACAAATGCTTCCTGAGTTCCTCACTGAGGAGAAGCTGTTAATATTGTGCTGGCTTAGAACTGAACACGTGCCTGTTTTGAAAAGAGAGGACAAAGTGCAAAGCTATTGCAATCAGCATTAGTCACTTGAGATTTTGCAAGTGCTTTGAAAAGTGCTTTGGGATTTGGATGTGATAAGTATTTTAGCATTTTAGCTAGGGGTAGTAAGTGCGATTTCTTTGCTGCTCTTGCAAAAGAGAACAGCATCAGCTCTTCTTACAGAAGGGACTGTTTTCTTTCCTTAGGAGGCTAAAACATTGGCATGCGCTACATTCCTCCTTTTGAAATTGGTTTTAAATGTAAAAGCTACACTTGTAAATTTTCAGTCTTGTGTTCAGAATGGATAGATATAGTTGAAATGTTCAGAATTTACAACAGTCTGTAGGTGCCGTTTTGTATGCGTTGATTCAGCCTTTGTACTGGTGTTTTTCAGAGGTACAAGTTCTATAGAATTGAAGGCAGGCTAGGCCAAATTTTAGTTACAGAACACTTATCCTTGGCAATGCCTTCTGGTTTTAATTTTTTTTTTTTTTTTCTAAGACCTCTGCTGCTGTAGCTAAACATAATAGTAGACCAGCAGTGTCAATCTTTGCTTCATGACTCTCACCTGAGAGTTCACACTTCTTGAATGTGGATGTGACTTCAGTCTCTCTCATCTCTCTTCAGGTTACCAATTGCCAAACTAGCTACTTGGAGTTGAAAAACTGACCAGTAGGCACCTTACACAATTGTGCAAGCTTTCTTCTAGTATAGGAGGCCGCAAATTTGTGTGTCAATGATGTATATAGGAACAGAAAAGTGACAGCAGAAATTCTCAAGGAAGTCTGAAGTTGGTATGCTTCTCCTTGCCATGAATGAAGTTCCTCAGGTTTCTTTGAATGCATTGCCAGATATCTACAGTTTTACATAATTATTTTGAAAAAGTTACAAATAATACATGTTTTGTGTTTTTGTTTTTGTTCTTTTTTATTTTCAGCTGCTTTGTAATATTGGCCATGCTGAAGAAAAGCTAGGTTTTACGTATGACAGCATCATAATATGGTAAGTAGTAAGGAACACTAGAGTAATACTAGGGTACTTTAATTTTTCTAAGTGCAATTAACTAAACTTTATTTCTGAGCTAGTATTTTGTTTCCCTAATGAGTTTAAATTTCCGAATTCAAACATATACCTTACAAATATTCTGGGTTAAATCAGAAATAGATTATCACTTTGAGGCATTTCTTACTTATATTCTCCATAGAGTAAAAATACTTCCAAGTATTTCTGGACTTGCAGAAAGCACTTTCAGTGAAAATGAGCACCTACAGAATTTAGAGCATGCCTTTGATGTAGCATCAGGATTTAAGGATAAACATTTGTGTTGTGTTTGTGTATATGTGTCTGTAACATTGCTTTTCCTGCTACTAAAATGCCCTGTGTATGTACTTCCAAGTGGAATTTTCCTGTATTTTATGGCGGTTTCTGACAGACAGTAGTAACAACATGCTTATTTCCAGAACTTCTGTGGTTTTATGCAAACATTAGTAAATTTGTCCTGAGACTCAACATAGGTGGCAGAAACAGCTAAGATCTAGTATTTAATATGATTTTTGTCTTCTTCGAATTTAGTTATCAAACTTAGAAAACATAGTCACTCTTCAAGTAAAATGTTGGAAATACTTGTGTAACGTCTTGTGGAAATATTGTAAGTTCTTTTTTAAAAAGAATTGTTTTTTCTTGCTAGAATTAAGAAAACTAAGAAAAATGTTAGTGTATTTTTGTGAATGCATATTTTGCTGTAAGCTTTAATAAGTTCTCTTCTGATCTTATGTAATCTGTTATGGTGCTTTATGATGGTACTACACATCACTTAAGAGTGTAACTTCAAAATTCAGAGTTCTTTCGTAAATATTTTTAAATACAAGCCTTAAAAGGTTATGCAAATCAAGTGTTTGTTTTTATAGGCATAAGTTTGCAGAAAGATCTGCTAATCCAAACACAATTACAGATATTGATGTTCTCAGCAGGCACATGAAGAAAAATAGCCTTCTCCTTAGAAAAATGCCAAAAATGGCTTCTCAAAAAAAAACAAACAACCCCCCACAAACCCAAAAAACCACCAACCCCCCAAAACCCAAAAGACAGCCAAACACAAACAAAGTCTAAAAACATATATCAAGAAAGTTACCTTGGTTAGTGTTATTTTGGTCAGTCCGGTGGGTCCTTTGTGTATGTACACTAGAAGTAAATTTTTAATGTGTGTATGTTGTTTATTGTGCTGTGGTGTTAATTTTCAAACTCAAAGATTCCACTCAGATACTAACATTTTAACAACCATAATCATGCAGATTTGTGGTTCTTCAGAAATATTTATAGGATGGGTCGTTTTCATGAGATACTGACTTTTCAGGCAAACTTAAAAGTTGCTGGAGTTACAGGCATTCTGTGGTAGTTTCTGTTTGCACATTGTTATATAGCAAAACACGCAGATATTTTGAGTAACTTGCAAATATCTGAAGTTTTTAATAGATTTTGGAAGTGACCTTCAGGTAGGCTAAGTATATATGTTCCTTTGGACTTAACATGCAAGTGCTATAATTTGCTCTGCTGATGTTCACAACATTATCTTGGATTTCCCTAGGGAAACCTTTTTGTGCTACAGAGCAAACTTGGTTTTCTTTGAAAATGTGAAAAGTTATTTGGACGCAGGAAGTACCTTGTGAGTTTTCCGTTTTTGTGAGGTATAAATGGCTAGTCTGAGTGCATTAAACTGGAAGGGAATTATGATTTCAAGAATAATTTTAGATTCCCTATATAGTCGTAGGGTTTGGGGTCAGTAACCGTCGTAGACTGTTTACCCAAACGGAAGACGGTCACAATCTGCAATAATTGTGATTGCCCTCAAGTTAGAAATCTGTTTCTTAGAACTCATTTTCTTTTTAGCATTTTGTTAGGTGCCTAATTTTAGTTTCTTCCTACCAGCAGATGGAGATAATAGTGACACCTTGTGTTGTCATTCCCAGTGTAGATGGGTCTTCCCAGTTCCCAGAGCACCATACCATTGACAGATGAGAGGAAGCCTTGAGCCATGAAGAAAATGGAGTGTTGGTAGGCCTCAGAAACTTTTGAGGTCTTTTAGAAATATGCCAAGAGGTTTTAGACATGAAAGCAAAATTCAGGATATTCACTATTACCTGACTGGATCAAACAGGATTTGTCAAAACTGTGACTATCTTTGCATAGTGAGTAAATGAGGTGCTTTAAAAGTAGGTGCAGGAGTGATACTGTAATAGGTATTGAATATCCTTTCTTATTCCATTCTTTATTAGCTCTTCCAGACTTTTTGTCACTCTCAATGTTTATCACCCTTAATTCTGTCTTAAATTATTTTCATTTCTGCAGTGACATTAAAAATACTAGGGCAAGTAGTATTGTACTTAGTTTTTCTCTTACAGAATCATGATGGCTTTTTGGCACTTTAAACCAAATAGGTGCATGTGGAATTTGCATATCAATTTTCTTGATCTGATGGCTCTTTTAGGGCCATATAGTATGAGTTTATAACACAGTTTTTGTATTGACGTATGGGAAGTTACATCTAACAATCTTAAATTTGCTTCACCATTTTGTTAACTGTGCTTACAGATAATTTTTAAGTTCCCTTGGTGTTTTCTATCACCCCATCCTATTCTTATTAATATAAATAATGTTGTCATGTGTATTTCTGCACACCCACCCAGCCTGCTTCCTCCAAATCAGTTATTGTACACTAAATACTGCCTACAAAAAGAGATAGTGAACTTGGGTAAAAAATGGGGGCGAAGACTTGCCAGGGCAAAAATCTTCCACTCACCTCTGCTCTTCCATTATTTTTTCATATTTTGATTCGTGATACTACTTTTCATCGTTCTATGATCTCTTTATATCTCTTAATATAGTCTTCGGTAACATCTTATGCCTTTTTATATATTATTGTAATAACTCCTTTCAAGTCTTTAAGAAGAGTAGTAGAATATAGTTTGTGTAAACTGTACTGGGTGCTTCACATGGCTAACCAGTTTTATTTTGAGGTAATTTTACTTTGAGATCATTAACTGGCCTCTGGATGCCTTTTAGAATCCTTTTTGTATAGACCTGTTTATTGCCATTTCTCCATCATGGCCACAACCGTTTATAATATGGTGCTATCAAATATATGCAGGTAGTTCGTGTGAAGCTTGGTGCGCTGCTGACAATACTTACTGACATTTCCTCCGGTTCTTCCCTAATTTTCATTTCTTGGTCTCAAAGGAGAAGAAAATGCTTGTATCAGTCGTGCCTCTGTCAGTCTCTCACTTGCTCCGCTCCTTCTTCTTTTTCTTTGGGGTTATCCAGGGGATATGATTTAATTTTTCAGGTTTTCTCCTTGTGGCACAGCTGAAGAGTCAGAACATGTAGATGCATACAGCCAAATACACATAGGTTTTCTTACATATCATTTTTTCTGTCTCCTGTAGCATGTGTTTGTTGTCTTTATAAGGTCAGGTTTCTTTCAGGTTTTTACAGTTCAGTCAGTAACTGGTGATGTTTTTTGTGTGGGGTTTTTTTTTTTTGTTATTGGGGTTTTTTACTGGAGATATTTTTGTTCACCCTTATATATATATATATATATATATATATATATATGACACTTATATATGTCACTGCTTTCATTGTACCCTTACGGATTTTATGGCCTTTATTTTAGGTCTGTTATCTTTCTGGCTAGCTGTCTGTATGTTTTCATTGCATTCTCACTGTTTAAAGATAGTGACACATCCCTTTTTGGTACCTTCTGCTTTTAGATTTTGGATCTCATGATAGCATCCTATGTAGTGGTTTCACTGTTGCAAATTCTTAAGTTAACTTCTGCCTAGAAATTAAGAGCATCCTTGTGAGATTTAGAATGAGTTTTGAAAATAGTGATTGCATTTGAAAAACTATTTGTCTAAAGATTGGTTTGGTCTGCCATTCAGAAGATGTTTCCTCTCAAATATAAAAGTACTTGGGGGAGGAAAGGGGGAGGGGAATGGGGGATGTGATGGAAGATGGAAAAATATCACTGAGTAGAACTGGGTCTTAAGTGCTCATTCCTCAGACTTCCATCTCTGGAAAGCTGCAAAACTAGAAACAATTTTTTATCTGTGATGTAAAGAATACCAGTTATCCAGTGAGCACCATTGAAGAGTTGCTTGTCTGCTTTTCTTGAACAACTTTGGAAGTCTTTTATCCAGTACAGCTTTTTCTAGAGAAAGAATTTTTCTTAACCTCACTGTATAGAGAATGTTTCTAATTTGCGTCTAGCTCAGCTTAAGGAAACAGAGTCAATTAGTGGCACTCTTTTTATATAAGAATCATACTTGATACAATAGCACCAGGTTTTTTCCTGAAGTAATTTCCTATGTCGTGCTGAAAGTAATAATCGGTTAATCTTTATTTGCGTCTAGTGTTGCAGCCTTTCTACTCTGTCTAGATACCACCTGAAAGTAGGTTCCTGTTGCAGTGACTTTTCAACAGGCCAGTTCTTCTCCAGAACTAATCAGAAGAGTTTTGGCATTGGAGTAGCCGATAGCTGTGCATGACGATCCTAGAATAAGAAAGGAAAAAAAATTAAGCCATTTGTTTATCACATGCTGGAGTATTTACATTCTTAGATGTCCACTGAAAGAATCCTACTAAAATACATTATAGGGACGTTGGGGTATTTCCCCTGCCCTGTGTAGTCAAGGAAAAAAGGGTGAATTTTTTGAGGTCCTTCAAAAGGACAGTGTGTTGTTTAATACTTTCTTATCTCAAGAGGCCTTCGGTATCTTATTTCCTTTTACGTAGATAGTGAATTTAGGAATTACATTGTGATGGCAGTTTTGATGACAGTTCTGTTTAGGAAAGCTCACTTCAGAGCAAGCAAAATGCTTTTAAAATCTGAATAAAGAGAAATAATGTTTTGGTTACATGTTAAAATGAAGTATGTAGAAATCTGTGCAGTGTGGGACTGCTTAAGTTACGACTGTCATATTTCATGCAAAAATAACGTGGTGCCATATCATCTTTAGTGGGTGGTGCATATAATTACTTAGGGTGCAGATTTGTCTCTTTGTCAGATTTGTCTCTTTTTTGTCAGGTTTGTCTCAAAACATTGTTTTGAGGACCCATGCTTATGGGTTGGAAGTCTAGCAGAGGAGGAAATGTGCTCTGATAATTTTCTTTGACTAATACTGTGCTCAGCTGTTTTGTTAAATAACAAGTTGTATACAGGTCTTGGTCGTGTATTATTTCATGGATGTACAAGCTGTTCCCTGGGGAATGAGGGGGCTGGAAATCGGTTTGTGGCATGTTCAGATTGTTATATCTGTATCTGCTGGCAGGGGAAAGATTTGGCTTCCAGTCTGTATGTGTAAGTATCTCAGAGTTGGAAAGTTAATGCAGAACACTTTTTCTTTTTTTAAAAAAACTTTTATTTCTCTTTTTTTTTTTTTTTAAGCAGGCTTTTTATTTTAAATGAGTAGATAGTAGCTGCAGACAGTGAAGTCAACTTGCTGCTAAGCAGTTGTTTGTCCCCCTTGATTTCTTCACTGTAGCCTGAGGTTAGCTTTACTGAATGAAGCAAAAGAGGTGCGAGCAGCAGGATTGCGAGCTCTCCGCTACCTAATTCGAGACTCCAGTATTCTGCAAAAGGTCCTGAAGTTGAAAGTGGATTACTTGATAGCCAGGTAATTTTTCTCTTCTTTCTTTTGTAAATAGTACAATTGTAAATCACTTATTTTTTCACAGTTGAGACAGTTTTTTTAATATCCTCTTACATTCTTGACTTATAGTTTTCTAAAAGCCATTTTTCTTCAATGAGAATAACATCCTTTAGAAATAGAAGGAAAACATATTACACAAGCTAATACAAACAATGATACTATGAGTAATACAAATTTCTGTTTTCAATCATAAATGCCATTAATCATAAATTAATTGTGATGTTCTTAGAAGGTTGAAGCATCAATAATTTTAATGTGTTAAGTTTTATGGGATATGTGATTCTTATCATCAGGCTTTGGAGCCTCTAGTACGAAAGTAGCTCATGCTCAAGAATTTGTATTTTAAGTATAAGCCATGATTCAAGAGAAGAGTAGCAACAGGCACACTAGCAATGAGACGGTAAGAATGATAAGTAGATGTAAATGTTAGCATTTCTATTGCTTCCTTAATTAAAATCTTCTTGGTTTTTAATATACTGATACAGATGTGTGTTTGTGCTTATAAATATATATACATAGTCAGTTTTAGTGTACTGTTTCATCTTCTTGGAGTAAAAAGACTTTTCTGATCCCAGAACACACACAAAACATGTTGATGTGAAACATTGCTAATACTTTGTTTAGTCTCATTTGAAATGACAAATGTCATTACGCCGTGCCATAGTATATTTGAGGACTTTCTAATGATTTAATTTTAATGAAGATACCTGAAAGAGTATAAACCAAAGCTAATTGACCAATCAAAGTATGCTTGCTGAAAGGCAGAATTCTTAAACAATCAGTCATAATACTACTTTTATTCTGTTTATTCCATTTCATAAGTATTAACACAAATTGTTAACAGTTAAGGTGGAAGTTGATGTTATAAACAAAATGTGTTTTTTTTTTTTTTTTAAACTTGTTTTAGGTGCATTGACATACAGCAGAGTAATGAAGTTGAAAGAACACAAGCACTTCGATTAGTCAGAAAGGTAAAACCTAATATATGGTCTTACCAGCTATGCCTGTCAGTCATACTGACTCCTGGTTTTCTTCATCAGCAGTTTTTTTTACACAGTCTCTAATACCATACTTTGATTTGAGAAGAAATTATAGCTGATATTTCAAAAGATAGAAGGAAGGATAGCACTGACACTTGCTTTGAATTTAATCTCTCACCACTGAGGATCTTGAGTGGGGTAGAAGAATACTGCTAATTTTCCTTTGATAGAGATCAAACTGGACAAGACTTGGGAAAAACTTCTCAAATAGTGAATGCAAGGGTATAAGAACCATATATTAAGTTTCATCTAATGACTTATATTTCTTGCAAAGTGTGTTTTAAGGATCTGTGAGTCAAGGATGGGAGATTCTCTGCCATTTGAGAAACGAGACAAATTGGTAATGCTGGAATAATCGGTTGAAGGAATGTTTCTAGCCTTATTGCTTTATCCATACAGGTTCATGTTACTCGTAGTTCTTAAATACACAATGTGACGCAGGTAGTCTGTGGTGGTTACTGCATGGTGTACCCACAGATTTGAGATGTTCGAAGCTGGTAGCCGCATTTGCAAGTTCATTTTAGAGAAATTGGCATATACAGCTATGTAAGATATTCTGCCTTTATACTGGACTTACTTACTGTTTATTGTGCATATATTCTTCTACTGAGCATCTTAGCAAAAACAACCTCAAGTAAAGTTTTAAGTAGTTGGAAGAATGGTTCCCCAGGAACATTGTGTGTTTAATCTGTTTTGTGAGTATATATATATATATTTTTAGCTATATATATTTAAGTTGAAAATATGGAAGTGTGATGTGCAATTTCGTCTCGTATAATAAGCTCACTTGGTTTCTGTCTTGTAGAAGAGGTAATATGTTTGATTAACTGTTGCACCAAAAACTGCAGCACTACCCCCCTTGCCCTCCAAACTCAAACAAAAAACATTACCATAAAGCAATTGGTCCTTGTGGAAGTCACAATTTATAAAAGTTCTTTGCTAATCTGCTTTAAAAAGAGAGCTTCAGTGTGAAGTCAGAATAACTTAAATGAGAAGAGGAATGGAAACAGATTTATAATTGGTTTTATTTGGGTCAGAGCAATGTTCTTATGCTTCCTGGACTTTTTTGGACTTTTCTTAGTAGATCAAAGACTTCTGTCTTGCTTGAATTATACGAGATGAAGCAAGAAAAGTAACTCGATTAGTTTGATTTGAAGAAATGATCCTGAAAGATAAGCATTTAAAAGATTGTAGAGCTGACCACCAGTTATGCTTTTTCCTCCGTCACTGTAGAAGGATGCTGTGCATTGGATGCATATTCTTTGATGCTGAGAACTCTGTTGATGAAAGATGTTTCCCAACACCTATTGCTACTTAGAACATTCTTTGTTTTCTTAAAAGGCATTGTCAGACAAACAAAAAGCCAGCTCACCTGCCTGCCAGTAAAATTAACAACTTTTACATGTCATATCTGAGTTAAGCATGCGTTGGCTTAGGGCAGTCAGTACTTGAGAAAGCTCACTCTCACAGGAAATACTGTGGCACACATCCCAAATGGCACATTCCATATTTTCACACTTTTCTTTTTTGTTACCGTCTCTTGCCCCTTTCCCATGTCTCCATCACTCTCAGTATCTTGAACTCAGTGTCTTGTTGTCAGGATTTCTAAAAGCTTATATAAAGGTCTAGAAGAGGACAGCACATGGCAGATTAAAACAGAGTTAATTCATTTGTGCAGGAGCCATTCAAGAGCTGAACTGGGTTCCACCAGCATCACAGAACTATTTTCAGTTTCAAATTCTCGATGTGATTCTTTAACCTTATCTTTGATAGAAAAATTGCTTAAATTAGGATAGATACAAAATTTCAGAATTGAAATATTCTCACACTTTCTTTTCATAGAGTAGAAAAAAATATAAAACATCCTGTTTAATGAATTTATAAAGTGTATGTAATAAATTTCTTTTTAAAATATATGCAGGAAGAGAAAGATAATTTTAAATTTTTTAAATTTAATCTCTGATTTTTTTTTAAAGGTTTTGTGTGCTCACTATCTCTTGACTGTAGTCACATCTGTATTTCCTAGTAGGAGCTTTGCAGTTTAGCAGTATCTTCAGCCATGAAAAGGACATAAAGTTGCTTCAGAAATTATTTCTCCATCTACTAGAAGTCAATAAGACCATTTTTTTTTAATAATTTAATAGGAGGATTTTTTTATTTTCAAAGCAGAAGTCAGGGTTAGGTACAGTATGAGCCACCTTCTTTCTTCCTCTTCCTTAGAGAAATCTTTATAAATACCAAAGAGATAGTCTTTGTTACTTATTTCATCGTAGCTGCTTGTAAGTAGTCTTGCATCACCTGTCCTTGGTCTTTAGAACTTCATTTCAATACCTAGAGCGGAACGAAAGCAAATGTGAAAGCTTATATTTATTCTACTAATGTAGAAGTAGATTGGTATGCTCATTCTACTGCTAATTCTTTTTACTTCATGACATTGTAAAAGTGAAAGACTCTGTGGGTGGGGAAAAGTTTGTTTTTTCTTTAGAGTCTTATCTTAAAGCTTCCTGTTTTGTGGGTGACAACATTATACACGACAAGAAGTTTCTCAAAAACACATTTCAAAAATGAACTTGTTAAAGTGTTACGGTGTATTTGTCAAAATGGTTGATTTCTTCTTATTTTGACACACTTTGCAAAGAAGGCAGAACAGTTTATCCCCTTTATCTGAACAGATACCTATGAGACACTGAAGGGACCTGTAAAGTGAATATTTGGGAAAACAATTTTGGAAAAATAATGAAGATAAGCTTGCTTTTGTTGGCAGTAAAAGGAATATTAAACAAAACCTTTGGAAACTAGCTTTAAGTATTTAGATGTTTGGATTTTTTTTTTAATTTATCTTTTTGTTCTACTTTTTTGTTGGGTTTTTTTTTTTTTTTTGCATCTCCCTTTCATTTATTAGTAGAAAAAAAAAAAAGAAAGTTACATGGTTTAGTGGGCTGTAACACATGATGTTGTTCCCTTTTTAAGCAGTCAGATAACTTACTTCCTCCTTTGTAGTACATCTGGTTGGTGCTGTTCATGTTCCACAGTAAAAAGGATATGTAATTTTCGCAAACTGTGAAAAAATGTAAAGAGTTACTCAGCCTTTGCAGTCAAAGCCTCATTTGAGGGTGGACAAGGAGTTGGTGGCATTGGTTGGGTGTTCTGGTGCAGGGCTTTTTTGCTTTTAATGTGTTCACAGAGGTTTGCTCCTGGATCTGGTGCAAATTCTGATCATCCTAAACTAGCAGCTGAGGATTTCCATAATGCAGGACCCTTCAGTAGTGTAAAGGAGCATTGGCTTTTACATACATGCCTTTTTTTTTTTAATGAAGGATTGGTTTCTTTAATTGGACGCGGGTCTTTTTTTCATCTTTGCTTTCAGTTTAATCTGTTTGAAATGTGTGCAGCAATCTAAGGATCTCTGTATGAAACAGCAGATTTTAGTCTTGGCTAATGAAACAGTTGAATAGGTATTGAAGAATCTGCTATGGTATGAATTAATCTAGGAGAGTTTGTAATTTACTGTGTCATTGCATAGTATTCATTGTCGATAAAGAAATTACTGGAAAAAGAAGTATAAAAAAGGTATCCATAGTTCTCACTGCAACAGTCATATTTTTAACCCTTTCCTATTATGAAAATATAATACAAAACCAAAAAAGTCAAGCAGGAAGAGGATGGTAAAGTAAACTGGCAAAGAATTTCAAGAGCAAAAAAAATAATTCTGAGGATTGGCCAGGTATAACCAAGTAATAAATGGAGTATAGTCTCGTATCTAGGAAACAGGTTGCTAGTGAATCTCTTAAGTACATTTAGAGAAATACTGTGAAGAAACCAGAGGGCTTTTTCTTTCATTTTTGGCAGATGATCACTGTGAATGCATCATTGTTCCCCAGTTCTATTACTAATTCTTTGATAGCAGTTGGAAATGATGGTCTTCAAGAAAGAGACAGAATGGTTCGAGCATGTATAGCCATTATCTGTGAACTAGGTAAGATAACTGAAAGCTAATTAAGAAAAAATTTTATGTGATTGTCATCAGTTTTTAAGAGCTTCTTTTCTGTGGGTTTGTGTTGAATAGATGATATTCAAATAATTGAGGGCATAATCACATGTTAAATACTCTTAATGTCAGTTTCATGGATTTTAGTCATTAGTTTGATATAAACTGAAACCACTTTAAAATCAAAATCTTCTAAGTAGCTGAATATTTCAGGTGCTGTTCTTTCCTTTAACACTTGCCAATTTTTAGTTTACATTAAAAACATTTCCCTGCTGCAGCTGATGTTTCTAAAGCGAATGGACTGAAAGTAGGGAGAATTCCATGCGTGAAACACTGACAAATGTACAGGATTTTGGAGAACTACAAAACATCTTCCTTAATTTTTTTTTACAGTGAGTGCTGTGGCTTGCTGGCTTTTGGAAGTCAGTGTATGTGTCCACCATGTAAAGGCTATCTGAATGGGGGCTTATCCCATCTCCCTATAGTTGTCTGTTGGTGCTGATTTTCAAAGTTTCAGAGTAAATGAGTATGAAATAATTTCAGCAGTGTTTTGAAGACAGACTTCTGTTTTAAAGAAATAAGTAATCTGTTACTCTTTGGGGTTAGTATAAAATATTTATACTAGAATATAAAAAATACTATAATAATATATACCTTTCACAATCTCGGTTCATTGCTAATGCCAGTCAGTTCCATTAAAAGCTTTACATCTGCCTCAGCAGTGTTCAGGAAGAAAAATATAAATGTATTAAACAGACAAGTTTGTCATATTTAAGCCATGAAATGTGCTGTGTTTTTTTCCTACCACTGGTCAAAGTGATGTGTTTTTCTTTATTTAGCACTTCAGAATCCAGAGGTGGTGGCTCTTCGGGGTGGTTTAAGTACCATCTTGAAAAATGTGATTGATTGTCAGCTGAGCAGAATAAATGAGGCTCTCATAACTACAGTTTTGCACCTCATTAATCATCCAAAGACCCGACAGTATGTGCGAGCAGATGTAGAATTAGAGGTGGGTTCAGTTTTACTTATTTGGTGACAGAAATTAAACATTGTATTACTAATGAAAATGTTTAAGATTTAATCTCGGATTTCACCTTCTGTGTTAGTGCAAAATCTTTAAAATACAATATTTTAGGCTAAGACCTTTGTGATTTATGAAGCAGGAATAGCATGACAGATTGGAGTGGGACTGAGGAAAGGGCAAGACCTGTTTGACTGTATTCTGGTGTGAAAGTAATGTATGTAATGTATGTCTTTTTTTCTTTTTTCTTTTTTTTTTTCCTTTTTTTTTTGTTTAGCGAATTTTAGCTCCTTACACGGATTTTCACTACAGGCATAATCCAGATACAGCAGAAGGACAAGTCAAGTAAGTGCTAGTGCTGCTACTTGTGCTGTCAGATGGTTTCGTGGTACTAGAATTGAACTGTTTTTCTTTCCAAAGTGAAAATAAAAGCATTGACCTAATACTAAGCAAACATTTAACATTTAAAAGGGCTTGCATAGCCCAGAGAGGAGAAGGTCCTGGGACATGCTTCCTCAAATAGCAGCCTTTCTGGTACCTAAGAAGATGGTGTACCCTGGGCCCTTCATAGAATCATAGAATAGTTAGGGTTGAAAAGGACCTCAAGATCATCAAGTTCAAACTTCCTGCCATGGGTAGGGACACCTCACTCTAAACCATACCACCCAAGGCCTCATCCAACCTGGCCTTGAACACTGCCAGGGATGGAGCATTCACAACCTCCCTAGGGCAACCTGTTCCAGTGCCTCACCACCCTAACAGAAAGAATTTCCTCCTTATATCCAATCTAAACTTCCCCTGTTTTAAGTTTGAACCCATTACCCTTTGTCCTATCACTACAGTCCCTAATGAAGAGTCCCTCCCCAGCATCCCTATAGGACCCCTTCAGATACTGGAAGGCTGCTATGAGGTCTCCACGTAGCCTTCTCTTCTCCAGGCTGAACAGCTCCAACTTTCTCAGCCTGTCTTCATATGGGAGGTGCTCCAGTCCCCTGATCATCCTCGTGGCCCTCCTCTGGACTTGTTCCAACAGTTCCATGTCCTTTTTATGTTGAGGACACCAGAACTGCACACAGTACTCCAAGTGAGGTCTCACAAGAGCAGAGTAGAGGGGCAGGATCACCTCCTTCGACCTGCTGGTCACGCTTCTTTTGATGCAGCCCAGGATACGGTTGGCTTTCTGGGCTGCAAGCACACACTGCTGTCTCATGTTCATTTTCTCATCAACTAGCACCCCCAAGTCCTTCTCTGCAGGGCTGCTCTGAATCTCTTCTCTGCCCAGCCTGTAGCTGTGTCTGGGATTGCTCCAACCCAGGTGTAGGACCTTGCACTTGGCATGGTTAAACTTCATGAGATTGGCATCAGCCCACCTCACAAGTGTGTCAGTGTCCCTCTGGATGGCATTCCTTCCCTCCAGCGTATCAACTGAACCACACAGCTTGGTGTCATTGGCAAACTTGATGAGGGCGCACTCAATCCCACTGTCCATGTCAGCGACGAAGATGTTAAACATGACCAGTCCCAACACCGATCCCTGAGAGACACCACTCGTTACTGGTCTCCAGTTGGACATAGAGCCATTGACCACAACTCTGTGTGTGCAGCCATCCAGCCAGTTCTTTATCCACCGATGGTGGTGAATGGTGGGAGTACAGGAAGCAACAGGGCGAAGCTGAAACGAGGGAGTTTCCAACCTGATGTAAGGAGTGAGAAGGGAGGTGTGTGGAATTTTCTGTGGGGCTAGTTAAGTGTTAGAATGAGCTGTGCAGCAACGTCCTGTAGCCTTGATGCTTTAGAGTTACTAAAACCCAAGTCTGGAGCTTAGCCTGGTCTGGTGTCGTGGTTTAAGCCCAGACAGGAACACAACCTTGCAGCTTCTTGCTCACCCCCCCACTTCTTCAACACCCTCACTCCTGGAGGGACAGGGAGGAGGCCTGAAAGAATGTAAACGCTGTGGGTTGAGATAAGAACAGCCCAGTAACTAAGGTACAGTACAAAACCACAATTACTACCACTAATAATAAGGGAAATAACAAGGGGAAGGAATATAAAACTAAAAGAGGAAAAGAAATCAATAAACCCAAGTGCTGCACCAGTAGCTCACCACCCACCAACCGATACCCAGGCTGACCTGAGGCGCAATCTGGGCCTTCCAGGTAGCTCTGTTCAGTTCATATACTGAGCATGAAATGCTGAAACCAGGACATCCTGTCTGATTGCTGGTAAGTTCTTTGTCCAGCTTTTTGTATTAGAGAGCTCCTGACATTGCTTCCAACTTGAATTATTCAGTTTTTTTTAATTACCAAATGTCATTAGATGCTTAGGTCCGGATAACCAAGTAAGATCCAGATCTTTAGATCCCTGATGTAGACTTGCTGTCAGGGGAGGTGCAGGGTGATTCATCTGACCACATATAGGTGTTTACTTTGTGATGTTATCCTCCTACCATGGAAACTTCCCTGAAAAAGGGGAAGTAACAGAAATTCTAATCTTTCTCTCTGTGCGTGTTTGTGTACACATTGCATAAATACATATACACACATACATGCATATGTAAACAATCTCACTCTGGATTTTGTAACCCATCTAAGATCTGTTAACTACTTTTTACTTCCTACATTAGAAACACTGGTTGGTTTTTAATAATTAACTGTGCTGTGACATTTGCTGTTTTAATGACAGGGAGGACAGAGAAGCACGTTTCCTAGCTAGTAAAATGGGAATAGTGGCAGCATTTCGATCATGGGCAGGTAAGATTTTTTGTTTGTTTGAAGCTGGATGATTGGAAGGTGAATTTTATTTTCTAGTATGCAAGAGTGTTTTGAGAGACAGTCTGTCTAATTTGATATTTCTAATTTCTGAGAATACCTTCCTACAATGCTACTGATGTGTTTTGGTATTGTAAATTTTGAGGACACATACATAGTTTACTTTGACAAGACACAACTTCGCCACCTCCTATGTAGAATGCTTTGTAAGTTGTATCTTGCTGGTAGTTCTTGACACCTGCTGAGTGAGAGGATGTTGAAAGTAACATCATATGGTAAGAATTTGCCCTTGAGATCATTCTGCAAGTGTAAATAAGAAATCTTTTTCTGTGTGAGGAGATACTACCAGTTCCATTACTGCGTGCTTCTACTAGGTGTCATAGCTGAAAGAAAGCTGCAGATGGACATAGTTCGTGATTTTTTGTGAAGACACTTGTAAATTGAAAAAGCATTTTTTTTTCCTCCTAAATCCTGTCTCTGCAATATTATTATTATAATACCTTACATGAAGATACTGCCTTAGGGACTGGGACTGCTCATTCTTTTAGACAAGATGTTGTCTTGCAAATAAACTTTATTAGTTCATATGATAATTTACCAAAACTTTGAGTAGGGTTTTTGCAGGCTATCCTTCCTAAAGATTCAAACTGTATAGAGAGCCTTCTTCATTGTAAGGCTATTTGCTGTGCCTTTTAATGTTCTGAAAATGATCACTAAGCTTCTTTTAATATCCTGCTATCCTTCAAAAAGTTTTTACATGCCTTCTCACTTGTTTGGGGAGGAAGCTTCAGAAGTTTGTGACAACTTTGGAATTTTAGGAAGCAGTTTCTGGTAGTAAGGAAGATGCAGCGACTCTTCTCAGACGCTTAGAACTAATTATATATGCCTGAAACTTCAAGTGGCTGAAGAAACAATAGTCTTGGAGTACATTAGTTGCCATGGCACTTCCATTGTTAAACAATTACCCTTTTTTATTACTTATATTGGAGCCTAATATCTTAAATATTTTTAATACAGGATGTCCTTGTGCTGTTAGTCTTCCCAGAGGACATGTAGCTAAACCAGACTGCAGAGCTTTCATTCTCATTTTGGCTTTTTGGGTGTTATTTTGCCTGTCTATACTATCTGCTTGTGTTACACTGTTTGGCTCTCCTGATTTCCCAGGCTGGATTATTCTTCAGAGCTGATGTTTGTTATGTCCTTTATCCTCATAGGCAATCATGCCCTTAGAGATAAAATGGGCATACAACAAAGACTGCATGCACCCAAACCTATTTCTACATTTCATCTGGGATGTGGTCACTACATCCTCTTGGAAAAGACCTTTGAGGTGCATTTTTGAGCACACTTAAATGCCCTTATTATGTACATGGCCATATGTACATGTCTTAAGTTTCTGTGATATGAAGTTTTGAAACCCAGGACTTTAGTAAAGTTCACATAAAACACGTGTCATTAAAGTTACATTTGTGTTAGTGAAAATAAATAGGTAGATATTTTTCATTTTTTAGTAATATTTACCGAATAATGGTCTGAGGTTTGTTTATGATCTGTAAAACAAAATGAATTATTTTTGTTCATTTAAAGTTGCATTTTGGAGAAGCTTTTTTATTTTCTGAATAGCATCTTGTATGTACATTTTAATTCTGTGAAGTATGAAGAGAAGTGGTCAAGGAAATGAGCAGGATTACTGTCTTTGCAGCCACATTTTTGATGAAGAGACGTATATAAGTTGAGGCTAAAGATCAGTGTCAGCTGTAGGTGTAACATTTAGAAACAATTTGAAGGTTTTCTCTATTAATATTGAAATGCCAAACTGAGCAAAAATACAGTATAAAAGGACCAAATTATAAGAGAGGCTTTGAGGTTTTATGAAAAGTTAAATCTACCATGTTGAAACTGGAGATGAGCATTAGTCATTTAGGAAAAGATGGTTTTAAACTGTGCACAGAGAAAGGTATTCCAAGTATGTTTAAACTTGCAGCTTAGAATTCATGTAGGTTAAAAGGAACTGAATAATATGGTAGAGTAAGGTACAGCTTTTGATGGAGAAACTTCTTACAGTTCTGCCAAGATGATTCAAATCTTTCAGGTTTAAAATTCATTCTTTACCAACAATTTCATGTTTTCTTTCTGCCATTTATTTAATATATGCTGCTTTTGCAGATAAATTTAAAATACTGTGCACAGCAGAAAGGGTAAAATATCTAGTTTTTAATGAAGAAATAATTCTTTTTAATTGAAGTTTTATTAAGTATTATTTGTTGGAAAGGAGATAGCATGATAAAGGTGAAAATACTTATGATTGGAAAGTTCTGTTATCTGTGCTTGTACTCAAAGTGGAAGTAAAATTCAATGTGTTGAATGTTTTTGGTTTGTGGTTTTGTTGTTTTGGGTTTTTTTTTTTGGGGGGGTTTTTTGGTGTAGGAATATTATTAAGTATTTAATGTTTTCTAGGTATTATCAGTCTGTGCAAACCTGGAAATTCGGGGATTCAGTCTCTTATTGGGGTACTCTGTATACCAAATATGGAAATACGGGTAGGTGATAAACATTTAGTACTGATGTAGGTATAATATTGGGTGTTCTACTTGAAATATTCTTAAAAATTTAACAATTTAGTCGTTTAAACACAGACTCCACTGAGACCACTGTCCTTGAGTTTATTTGATCCCTGACTTTATAATTCCATTATAAAAATCCTGTGAGCACACCCTGTATGTCTGAGAGCAGGGAATGGAGGAGAGAAAAATACATAAATTCATTTTAAGTCTGGTCCCAAGTCAAAGCATTTCCACAGTAGCTGCAGTTATGAGTTTAAAGCATGATAATCAGAGTTGAATCCAAAATAAATAAAAATGTTTCTTCCCAATTACCAACTAAGAAATTGATGGTTGCAGCAGTAACTATTCTAAAAAGTCTGTAATCCAAGTAGCTTGAATGTCTATAGAATTCAGTGTGATAATAAGGTACAATTCTAAAGTAAACAAGCCTCTTCCCTTATTCTTCAGATTATTTCAGTTTATCAATATAATCATGTTACCAAAAAAAAAATAAAATTCTGAAACAGGTTATACCAGTTTTAGCACACTCTAGAAATATCAATGTGAATATTAATAGTGAATAAAAGGACAGCTTTTGTAAATCTATTAAATTCTGGGTTTGTCTGGTTTTGTTGGTAGCGAGGTCTGCTTGAAGTTCTCTATGATATATTTCGCCTTCCTCTCCCTGTTAATGCAGAAGAATTTATTGAGGCACTTCTCAGTGTAGGTGAGTAATTAGAAACAGTTCACATAAGAATTCTGCCTGCTAAGACCTACAAATTTGAGCCCTTCACAGTCTCCTCTGTACTGTAAATTATGTCACTATTACCTATTTCATCAACTAATTCATTGGGTGCTTTGAAGTACTGTTTAAAATTCTTTATCAGCGTTAAGTGGTGTAAGTTTGATCAAGATCAGCAGTGATGCATAATGGAGCATTTACACAAATGACTGTGTAAACACATTACTACAAATTGGGCTTACTTGAGCTGTTAAAGAGTTAGGGAATGTTACAAAAAAGTTACTGAACAGAGTCTTTTCTATGCATTGTGTATGTGCTAGCCATTTCCGCTGCACTTAAACAGACTTTTCCTAGGGCAAGTGTATGCTTTTCCATGTCTTTATATTGAGCAGAGTTAGTCTTTTATCTTTAAAATTACTCCATTCTAAACCCAAGCGCATCCTCTGCTTTCTTTGACAGTGCAAAAGGGTGAGCCCAAAAGGAGCAAGTTTCAGCCTGTAGCGTTTCAGCAATACTCCGAACTAGTTGATTATAAAAGTTTAATCCATATTCCACATTTATAAATAAATATATTGGTCTGTGTTGCAAACTTGCTACTTTGCATTATATGGATATGCATTTTCAATTTTTTGGTGTAGCAGTGTTCTATGTTAAACAAGTTTAATGTATTTATGACTTGAAAATGTCATTATTGTGATTGACACTTGTATGCAGTCTTTGTCGTAGCTTTAAAGTTAGCGTTACTGTGTTCAGGAGTATATTGGACAAATTCCTAGAGATCCCTTCTGACAAAATTTTCTGTAATTTGAAACCTCAATTTTTTTAATTTTTATTTTTTGCAAGAACTGTTATTTGTGTACGGATAACCATTAAAATAACACTATGAAATACTGTGTTATAATTACAATTGTCCGTATTGTCCTAGATCCAAGCAGGTTTCAGGACTGTTGGAGGCTTTCTGATGGCTTTGTAGCTGCTGAAGCTAAAACTGTATTACCCCATCGAGCCAGGTCAAGGTGAGCATTTAATGAGCTTACTGTAAACCCTTGTTTCTGTTTTGTGGTGGTGGTAACAAAATTTATTTTTTTTTTTCTTGCAGACACAGTAAGAAACTAACTTTCTAAACTGTTTCCATACTTTTTTTCTCCTTAGGCCTGATCTCATGGATAATTATTTGGCTTTAGTGCTTTCAGCTTTTATTACCAATGGACTTCTAGAGGTAACTGATGACTTTTGAATAGATGCTTCCTGCTTTTCACCTATAAATATTTAAATAAAGTGTTCTACATTAAGTGTTGTAATAATTCTTTAACTTTTTGAAGGGTCTGGTTGAAGTGATCACAAGTAGTGATGACCATGTGTCTGTTAGAGCAACTATCCTTTTAGGAGAGCTTTTGCACATGGTAAGTAAAACTTGTGCTGAGAATAACTAGTAGTAGTAGCTAGTTGCAAATAACGTATTTCCAACTATAGCTTTTGAATTTGTGTTACGAATTTAGAACATCTATTTTTCATCAGAATAATAGGTTAATCTATACTACATCTTTCGGCACTTCATACATCAAAACCAGGATGTATTGAAAGTGCTACAGGCTCTGCTCCAAGGATAATCCTCAGCTCCCAAACTCTCACCAGTATACTTCCTTGCCTCATTAGCCAGTTGGATTTTAAGCTGGAGTCCTGCAAACTCACCCATCAATTACTGTGTCTGGGAAGAGGACTTTCTGATTTTTGCTTTCCTCAGAATGATGGCAAATGAAAAGTTTTCATTCAGCTTGGTGTGTCCAGGACACTTGATGTTACTCATTCAGGCAACTGCAATTTGGCAGAGTGCTCTGTTAGCACTGCTGTGAGTAGCCCATGCTATAGGGAAGCCAAGAAGACCTTATTGCTTGCTCTGCTTCCCTCAACCTAATGTACCTTTTACAGTAGCTTCTCTCTCTTAATCTAAACTATTCTAGTATAGGCATGGTATTACTGTTTTCATACATGCTCCAGTGCTATTTGTCAGCTTCACAGTGAGCTGTTAGTCATGCGTGAAGTGATATGATGTACCATTCTTGCAAAGCAGTTCCTTTATTTCATCCTCTTGTGATGGCAAGAATGGCATATGCAACAGAGCACTTCTTGATGACTTTTCTTGCAGTTATTTGAAAAAAAAAAAAAGAGTTGAAAAAACCCCCTACTTTTTAAGAGATGGTAAGATTGCAAAATACAACTTTTGCAAAAATTTGAATATAAGTTACCAGATGTAGTCTGCAAATTTAGACTATCAACTCATTTCAGTGGTGGTTAATGGTCCAAAAAAGAATGGGTTATTATCACAGTGATTTACAACATCTCAGCTCAGCAGCATCGGTCACAATTATAACAGATCTGATCTTTAGCCTCTTCAATAATTTTTCTTTATATAATTGGTGAAAATTTCTTGAGTATTCAGTAAGCAATGTAGTTTAAAAAGAGGAATTTGTAGTAACTGTATGCCCTATTTCTGTTACTGACATTTGAGTATGCTGCAAATCACAGGTATTTTTTGGCTTTCTGAAGAGACAGTTCATTAGTCAAAGAGAACTGTTTATCAAAATACTGAACAAATGAGTGTGCTTCTATTTAGTTTAGGAGATTGAAGTAATTTCTTTATTTTCATTATTTTGTTTCCAAAAATATTTGCCTATGTTTTCCAAAACAAAGTCAATTAAATGTCTAGTAATTTAGGATGTTAATTTAGTTAATAAGTTGTTGGGGTTTTTTTGTTTATTTGTTTTGTTTTATTGGGTTTTTTTGGGCAGAAAGTTTTTAATGGAAATCATCAGCTTAAATTGTGTTTCTGGTTTTAGGTATCTTTGTCCTTTAATACACATGACATCAGGATATGTGACGCTTTGCATGTTAACACTTAAATAAATTAGAAGGCTCTGAAATGCAAAATTGTTTTAAGTGAAAGTATTGTGAAAAGTGGTAGATTCTTCAAATGTTGATCCTAATCAGATGGCTGGAAAATGTTGTAATATGTTACTCTAATTGGTTTTTTGTTGTTTTTAGGCAAACACAATTCTTCCTCATTCTCACAGCCATCACCTGCACTGCTTACCAACACTAATGAACATGGCAGCATCTTTTGACATCATGAAAGAGAAAAGACTGTAAGAATTCTAAGTTTCACTTAAATAAAAATATTTACATCTTCTTTTCCTTCTACAGATGGGTGAAGACCTACAAGTTTTCTGGTAGCTGAAACCTTTACTCTATTTAAAAACAAACAAATGCATGTGTATATAAATGCTGCCTGATGTACTTGCATTTGCTTGTAAAGACAGTTTAAATTAAATGGTTATTTTTGGGGGGAGGGTTTCTAACATTAAATTATAGGAAATGTCTTTGTTAATTATTCGTGCCATTCCAGGTCTCCCTTGTTACATCACTGTGCTGATAAATGTATCATGATTTTCTATTTTATTGTTCATTGTGTTGTCAGCAATAAATTATGAACTCTTTCTGAAATACTACTGTGAAATAAATGCTGTTTGCAGCGTGATTCAAAGAAACTTGGATGCTTTTCTGCTTTTTAGTTTTGAAAGTTTCTTATAGGTCAGTAGAAGATTTTGGTAGGTGATAATACAGTTATTTTTCAAAAAAAGGCATAGCTGAAACCACAGGAGATTTCACTTGGGCAAAGTTGTGGGATCAGAGGAAGGATGAAGAGCAGATGGGACACATTTCTGGATTATCTGCCTTTTTTTGTTGTGTTTTTTTTTGCATTTTGACATTTGTAGACATACCTGGTAGAGTAGTAAGACTTCCTGGTTTTGTTGGAAGGAAGTAAAATTTTTTTTTGGGGGGCAACACCTTGGTTTTGGTCAACACGGTGTTGTTTCATACTGTGGAAATTCATAAGCCCTGTTATGGGTTAAGTTTGAACAATTTGGATAAGTGACTAAATACAAAGGTATTTTTACTTGAAAATAATAGAAATAATATAAACTCCCCTATAAGAATTTTTGTTTACAAGGAAGAAAGGTAGACTACCTCCTCATTTTAGACTTCCTCATTTTATTTTGCTCAGAAGTTTTCTTTTTTGCTACCACTAGTTTGTAATTACTGTTTCTGTCCTTGTCAACTGTTGTTTCTATTACTACTTATCTTTTCCTGGAAAACTTCTTACATGCTGTTGCTGAACTATTTAGATATAAGGAACAGAAATACTGCTTACACTCTTGCCACCCTCCAAGGAAAAAAGGAAAAAAAAAAAATGTGGGGTAGGCAAAACTCATAACAGAATTTACAAGAATTGCATTGTTAGTTGAAGTTGAAGTTAGCTCACTCAACTCTTTACTGCAAAGTGTTGCTCTACTGTGGCATCTCACAATACTTTAAGCTTTATGGTATCTTCTGTGAAGTGTGATAGATTTCTCAGTACTAGAAATTCTGAAAGATAATTTTCTGTATAATTTCAGTACAAGACTGATGACTATGGATGCATGAAAACTTGTATTAAGAAAATTATTTTGTTCTTATTTGCTTCAGATTGTTGGTTGGTTCTTTCATGAGCTACGTTTATTTATTCAAGTACAGCAGTGGTGTGCTGTTGGATAACAATTGCCAAATACTGATGATAGGGTATTTTTCCTATTAGACGAGCAAGTGCTGCACTCAACTGCTTGAAACGTTTTCATGAGATGAAGAAAAGAGGACCTAAACCTTACAGCCTCCATTTAGATCACATTATTCAGAAAGCCATCTCAACACACCAAAAACGGGATCAGTACCGTGTGCAGAAAGACATCTTTATTCTAAAGGTATTACCATTTTTCCAAACTGGATTTTACTTCATATTTTGGACACTTAGATCCTGCCCCCCCCCAAGCTTCACTCTGGTTTAATTCAGCATCATTTGCATGATTTCTATGTATTTTATTTATTTAATTTGCCGTGTTACGTACTTGCGGATACTATACTGTATTTCTAGAAATTGAGGAGTGAAATTACACCAAGGTTTGATGCCTTTTGGGACAAATTGTGATCTCTTGCTATTAAATTACAGCCATGCAGTTTACTTTCAAATGTAAACTACTGTGGAGCATACCCCTTTTAATGATTGTTGCATGACTGGTTAAGTATATCATGTGACAAGATTGAAAAAAATGGTGCAGGGAAACTTGCTGGAGTTTTTTCATGTCTGTATTCCAGGATACAGAAGAAGCGCTTGTAATGAATCTTCGAGACAGCCAAGTTCTCAATCATAAAGAGAATCTTGACTGGAATTGGAATTTAATAGGGACCATACTGAAGGTAAGCTTAAAAAGGGTGTGATATTAATTGTATGAAATTGATTGAAAGAAGTCTGCATTTCACATATGAGCTTTGACTTTCTAATGTTAATTCCATGTGCAGTCTCCTAAGTTTTGAACTAATACAAATATTCTTATATAATAGAGTTTGTTATAAAATTAACTTGTTTCTACAAAATAAAAAAATATCTCAGGGAGGGGATTATCTTGAATACATTTAATGCGCAGCTTTTAAACAAAATACTTTCTGAGTGAGTACTCAGTACAGTTTTCAAATCAAAATAGCTCCTGTCATTTGGTGGATCAAAGCCATACTTCTGTCGTTACCTCAAGTAACATTTTCTTATTGTCTACTTTACTGTGTTGTTACAAATATGGTCAAAGGACAATCAAGGGTTAATGGTGACAATCATAGTATTATATTAAAACAGTAAAATAAATATTTCTATTAATTACTTATCATTCCTCTTTTTCCCAACTGCTGAGACTTGAGAGAGCAAGACTCTGTCTTACATAAAGACCTGAATATGTATATTAAAGCATCTTTGCTCCACCAAATTTCACTTTTCAGAGGCTTTTAACTGCACTTTACTGGATTGCTGCAGACCTATGATGATTAATCAGATTTTTTTTTTTATTTTTTTAAAACTTTTAATTCAGTATTAAAGATATCAAGGAACTTTTTCAGAATCTTGCTCCTAATTAGTCAGAGTAGTACTCGGACTATGGAAGCTTTATGTAGTTGACCACTAAAATGTTAGGGTTTTTTTACATGAAATTTAAGTCAAGCTGCCAGTTCCTATGCTATCTCAGACCTCTCCAGCAGTAGATTTTCTAGTGTCCTGTCAAACTGTTGCTAATGTCTCAAAATCAGGGGCTTCTGTCTTTTAGAATGAAGAATGTACGTGTTTTCTGGTTTAATTCTTACCATTTCTGTTTCTGTTAAAATGCACACCAGCATAAACTAAGATAATGTTATCAGAGTGGTCCATATTTAGTCCTCGAATGAGAAGGGTACAGATTCCAGTGTTTGGACTTGGCTGTCTCATGTGGATCTTCTTGTCTCTGTCACAGACTGTGGACAACTGTGGAGCATCAGCTTTCTAACAACCCCACTACTTGCATCTCATGTGGTCCTTTACGGCTTATTTTACTTGCTCAGCTTGCTGTCTAAGCTGCTAAAAGAGCAGCAAAAGTGGCAGTGGTCAGTACGGAGGAATTGTAACTTTGTCATTGACAGTAGAGCTTCATACTTTATCTGGCGCTGTTGCTAGTGTAATCAGTTGTACGAATCATTAAGTAACGTGTTTTATGTCTTCAATGAAGTGTATCACTTAGGTAGGAAAGAAGAATGTTTTGTGCAGGTTTTCTCCATCCGTTCTATGAAGATAGTTACTGGTAGCAACAAAAATAGATCTGAAACCACAGAGACAGCAGATGGTTGTAAAACCAGAGGAAAATATAATAGAAAGAATAGGCCCAGGAAAGAGTATTATGGCTTCATGTGATCCTTCTTAAAACATTCATGAACTATCAGCAGAAGAGTTTAAATACCATTTTAATAAGCAGTATTTAAGTGAACTGTAACAGAATAGTGATTATTTTAAATAATAGTGAAACTACTACAAAAAATATTTGTCTGTTATGCAGCTCAGGTTTTTTTTATTTGCAGAGAAGAAACTGCTGAAAAAACTTGTTCATTTTTCATTAGCTTTTCATAGTTTCCTGTTTTCATTAGAATTGGGGCCATATACACTTTGCATGTGATTGACATTCTCTGTCCTCTAGAAAAAAAATAATGTACTTCTTAGGGCAAGAAATGCGGGTTTGCAAATAAGGGGATTTTATAGGTGACATTAGGTGCAAGAAAGCTTACACTTCTATTTATTAGTAAATATAACTTTAATAGTAATGAGAAAATTTGAGTGACTAATCAAGGACTGATATACAAGTTTCATATAATGCTTTATTTTCTTTTTTCTAGTGGCCAAATGTAAATCTAAGGAACTATAAAGATGAACAATTACACAGGTATGTAAAAATTAGACTTCCTTTGCAGAGAGAAATTTGGAAAAACTAGGTTTTAATATTGCGGTAAACTATTCTTGCATATCACATTTCTAAAACGTAATCTCTAGATAAGGAGCAAACTAGAAAATTAACATATCAAGGTTGCAGTATTTGCTTTAAATAGGACTTTAAGCTTCAGTAGTTTCTTCTCTATGCACAGATACTTTATATGGTTATTCTCTTAACAAGAATCACACCAGCTTTGCAAACACCTGTTTTCATTTTAAACCCTGAAGTATTGCTTCTTTGATACTTAATACATTACTATTTAATGTCAACACGTGACAAATTTTGACACAATAGGTCTACAGTTGTACACTTGTATAGTTCAACTTTCGTCAGAAACTAGAAGGAAGTTATTTCTAGTTGCTCTTAAGGAAAGCAACTGTGATTTGGAGAAAATGAAATACAGCTCTGGTTCTTTTCATATCTGTTGGCATTTAGGCATTTTTATTACTTTTGTGCATGTATGGTAATAGTGTTACTGTAATTAGTGCTTGAATGTGCCTTTTAACATGAATTTCAGAAATCTATTTGATGAAATTACTTTGGAGAGTAACTCTGTTCTGTAGGCATGGAAAGCTATTTCTGCTACTTCTGTGAAATTCCAGATATTTTTGGTAGAGATGCGTTAATTTTATAGCAATATAGTTAACACAGTGTGTGTCTACACATGTATATGCATATATATATGTTTGAGTTTGCACATACAGGCACAAATACAAATGTGTTAGTTAATATATGTAACATATTTATTGCTGGTTGCCCAGGATAAAACAGACTTCATTTGACGAAATTTGAAGAAGCCCTCAGATTGCCTTTGTAATTCGTCCTGTGGTTGGAGTTGGGATAGTGGCTTACTGTCACTTTTTTAACAAAAGACTCAGTGCTCTATTTAAGTTTTCTTAATGTTCAACATACCCACCTTCAGGCAGAACATTCTGTGTTATTTTTAAGCACAAGTGTGTGTTTATTTTTTGACAAAGAGTTGGCATGGGGAAGCTCTCTGCTGAAGATTTGTTTCTGCAATGCAAAACTCAAGTTACATATACCATGATCTCAGAAAGTCTGAGTGAGTCTGCATTTGCAATCACTGTGTTATTCTACAGAAATACTAAAGTGAGCTGAAAGAAAATACTCTTGCAGAACAAATGTGGCCTTTTCGTGGCAGAACACAAAAATGTACTTTTCACAGTAGCATTAACTAAAGTAGGTGAAGAAAATTCATGTCACGAATTCTTGTTTTGCTCTTTTTAAGTGAAGATAGTATAGTCTTTGAAACTCACCACAGCCTAAACTGCAGCAAAGTAAATTACAAGCATGGGAAGAAGGAAGCTGTGGGTTCTAAGAACACAGAGATTTTTAGTTCCTTTGCTTATTTTAAATCATGGCATGGAAAACCCTTCATAATGTGTAGTACAGTTGCATCTCTGAAGCTGTGTCTGGATAGTCTCATTGCTGCTACCTGCTACTCTTTTTAATAACATTTGAAAATTTATTTCCAATAAACTAATTTAGTGATAATGTAACTTTTCTGCAGTCGTCATTTTGTACTGGGAGCCTATCCTTGTTATACTGCAAAACAGTTTTTTTGGTTGTTTTTTTTTTTACTTTCCATAGGTTTGTAAGGAGATTGCTATATTTTTACAAGCCTAGCAGTAAATTGTATGCCAACCTGGATCTGGAGTATGCCAAGGCTAAACAGCTGACTGTGGTGGGTTGTCAGTTTACTGAGTTTCTTCTTGAATCAGAAGAGGTAAGGAATTTTCAGCTCTTTAGAATGAGTAGTGCTGCTTTATGCCACTTTTTAGTAAAGACTTTTGTAGGCAATGTAATTTTTGTGGACAATGTAATTAAGAAGCATAACTGAGGATCCATCCCTGGTGGTCGGTGTTCAAGGCCAGGTTGGACAGAGCCTTGGGTGGCATGGTTTAGTGTGAGGTGTTCCTGCCCATGGCAGGAGGGTTAGAACTAGATGATCTTAAGGCCCTTTCCAACCCTAACTCTTCTATGATTCTATGATTATTAAATTACCCAGATGAGACACTGAGGAAGATGACTGTGCATAAGTTTTATTAAATACAGCTATATTAAATGCAACTTAGGCTTTGGAGTTCTTTCGGTTTTTACTACGTATAACCTTCCTTTCTCTACATCCTTTCTTCTTGTGTGCTAAAAAATTTTTATGCCTCAGGTCACAGCAATATGTCATTGAACAGTCATTTCCCTGGAAAGAACAGAATTGGTCTTGAAATATCTCCAAGTATAAGCCCTTTTATTTGCCTTGAACCTTTTTCTTTAGTCTGATTTGTGTTTTCCAGTCAGCCTTTCTGTTTTGTATCTGCATTGTGTTTGTACGTTTTAAGAAAATGAAAATGATGGATTTCAGTAACAAGATGCCGAATTCTAGTAAATAGCCTTTTCTTTGTTTTATTAGGATGGACAAGGTTACCTGGAGGACTTGGTTAAAGATATTGTACATTGGCTTAACTCTTCATCTGGAATGAAACCTGAGCGTAGTCTTCAGAATAATGGGTTACTGAATACCCTTAGCCAGCACTACTTCTTATTTTTTGGTACTCTTTCTTGTCATCCTCATGGAGTGAAAATGCTTGAAAAATGCAATGTATTTCAGTGGTGAGTGTTTTATTCTGTTTAAACTGTGCTTATGGGTATAATGAAAATTATAACCTGCATGAGCACCATCATCTGTAAAGCTGAAAAATAAAGATCCCCAGTGGGGGGTGGGGATTCATTGGTTTGTTTTTTGTGTGTGTTTTTGTTTGTTTGTTTGTTTGTTTGTTTGTTGGGGGGGTGTTAGGGGTTTTGTTTCGGGGTGGGTTTTTTTTTTTGGGGGGGGGGGGAGAGTGCTCGTTTGTTTGGGTTTTGTTAAGAAGTCTTAGGCAGCCATTACAGATAGATTTTGTGAATCTGTCACGAAATTCCACATCTATCTGACAGAAATCAGTATCAAGAAGGATGATACTATACTGAAAAGATGGGGGGAGGAGGGGAGACAAAACCAAACAAACCAGCAAAACCCACACACCACTAAAAACTGGCAGGTATCATATTCTTTGTGAAATGCCATGATGCATGTTGTACCTCAAATTCAGACTAATATCTTTGAGTGAAGCTGTGGAGTTAAAATTTTGTTCAGGTCCAAATAAACTGAGGTCTATTGATGATTTTTTACTAGTGTAAGAAAACTTCGTTTACAGTAAAATCTAGACAGTTAATAGCACTAACCTCATGACAAGCTAGAATAGTGGAGAATGTTTTACAATGAGGAATTGCTCATAGAGCTTTATGAGCACTATTTTTCATGCTCAAAGTCACGAATTAAAAAATGCTAACAAAATTATTACTGAGCAGTTATAAAAAAATGTTCATTTGGGGGGTTTCCCATTTGCAGTTCAGTGCATTATCTGGTCCTCGTTTGACTCTCACAGATGGAACAGAGTTAACTTCATTTCATTGAGAACTTACTTTGTATTATGCATAGAAATTAAAGTTTAATTCAAAGTACTTAATTTTAAATTCATGATTGAAATAAATCAGTTTGAGTGGGTTCAAATACTAATTTTTTATTTTTTTTAATTCTCTCCATTTCCGCCTCCTCTCCCCC